GAAAGAGATCCTATAAAAGATATGTGTTGGTTGAAGGAGATTGAGCCAGTCTTCAATACCATCAAATGTTTATATGAAGATTGAGTTCGTTTACTGTTTCTATGCTTAAATCTAATGCTCTATATTGGTGGGAACTAGAATCACTGTCTAAACCAGACATTTTGTGAATGATGTCGTGGATGGAACTTACAAATAGGTTCAAAGAACAATTTTGTCATAAAGCTGTAGTTAGACAGTTAGAGGAAGGATTTTTATAGTAGGAACAGGGAACATGACTGTACAGAAATATACCTTGAAATTTATTGAACACCCAATATTTACAGAGTATTATGTCTCCTCGGAATCCCGTAAAGTTGAACAAATGTTTGGGGATTGAAACTCTCTATCAGAGAGTTTGTGATTGCAGTGGATCCTATTACATTCCCATTGTTGTTAATGCGGTTGAAACCACATAAAGAAATAAAAATAGACAAATAGGAGAGAAAGTTGGGGAGAAGAGTAAATGGGAGGGATCATCAACAGACTTTCAGAGACCAAAGTTTGTGAAATGTGAAATCTGAAAATCGTTTCACTCAAAGATTTAATGAGAGACCTTGCCCAAGATATCACCTTATCAACCAAGGTTATTGTAATATTGATCAGAGAGTTTGTTTTAGATGTGGAAAGCTAGGGCATATCTCTAGAGGTTATTGGATGCCCCAACGCTATTATCATTGAGATTCCCCAAATCACATTAAAACAGACTGTATGAGTTAAAAAATCATAGATCAAATTGTGTTGGTAACACTCAGAGTATTCGTGGGGGTATCAAAAGAGGTGAACAAGAAAGGGCAAAGGGACGATCCTTCCAAGTGTCCCGAGGGGAAGCGGAGGAAATTCTAGATGTGGTGACGGGTACGTTTCTTATAAACTCCGTATATGCTAAGGGGCTATTTGATTCTGGTGCAAATTATTCTTTTGTGTCACCATTATTTGTTGGATGTTTACAATTGAAACTTGTGTCATTGGACTGCGCATTAGTGGTTGATTCCGCTAATGATAGTCAAGTCTCTGTCACCAAAGTTTATAACGACTGTCAAATAGAAATAGAAGCGTGTGTTGTACCGATCCGACTATTCCATATGTCGATGAAGGAATTTGATGTAGTGGTGTGTATGAATTGGTTGTCAGAGAATCAGGCAAGCATTATATGCAACAAGAAAATGATACGTATTTAAATTGTTGGGTAAGGGGCCAATTGTGATTTATAGTGATTGGCAAGATCGTCATACAAGCTTGATATCTGTTTTAAGGGCCTGAAAGTGTATTAAAAAAGGGTGTTAAAACTTCTTGGGCTTATGTAATTGATTATAAGAAAGAAAAAGGTATAATGGAATCCATTCCAGTGGTTTATGAATATCCAGAGGTGTTCCCAGATGAGTTATCGAATTTACCTCCACAACGGTCAGTCGAGTTTCAAATTGATCTAACACCTGGAGCGGCATTTGTAGCTAAAGCACCATGTCGTCTGGCATCGTCTAAGCTGAATGAGTTGATGACACAGTTGAAAGAATTGCTGGATAAAGGTTTCATTAAACCTAGTATATCTCCTTGGGGTGCTACAATCTTATTTGTTAAGAAAAAGGATGGGCCGATGCGGATGTGTATAGACTACCAAGAATTGAACAAGCTGATAATAAAGAATAAATATCTTCTACCCATAATCAATGATTTATTTGATCAATTGGTTGGAACTAGCTATTTTTCTAAAATTGATTTACGATCGGGTTATAATCAACTGTAAGTTTGGGATGAAGATATAGCCAAAACTGCTTTTCGTACCAGGTATGGGCATCATGAGTTTTTGGTAATATCATTTTGGATAAAATAATTCATTTGTGCATTTTCTCTCTTCTTTGGTGGTTGAAGTCTGAGAGAGTCCAATTCATTAATTCTTTCTTCCAAAGACACGACCCTCCTCTTTTACACGAGAGAGTGACTCATTTAATTTGTCCTCAGTTGCCAGCTCAAATCAGTTGGCACCCTCGACCCTTCTTGTCAGCTTCGATCATGGAATTCCTCGTCTTGACCAACTAGGCATACATGGCCAGAGAAGACTGGAACTCCTATCAAAAGAACCAACTAACGAATAATCAACTGCCGAGGAACATAAGAATAAAGTTAGCTAGTGAAACAACAAAATGCACGATCGAAAGATGGGACACTTATAAACGATGTTCCATCTAACGACAAGCCGTTGATCTTCATCCTCTGGCGGCGAAATCCTACCAAAGATGCATATGGTCTTCCATCGTCTGTCATTGACCACGATATTTTGGACCAGGATTTGACCATCTTTCTGCCTGACGAAAAGGATATATCGATGATTAGCCTCCGATTTCACCAGTACACTATAAGCAAATCATGAATTGTGAAAGGGGATTTCTACAGAAGTCAAACGTTCTATCACACGAACAACTCTCCAAAATTGGGGCATCAACTGCCCTGGATATAGCTCGAAGGTTCTAAACACGACCTAGAACATGGTAAAAAGGCCAAGAAAACCTATCTTGAATGGGTACTCATGCATAACAAAAAAAAAACTCTTAGGACATTCCATAGGTCTAAGTTCTTATGAACATGAATTTTTAAACTCTCATGCAAAGCACCTAATCGTCTAAAGGCATGAAGATCATCTCCATATTCTAAGGAACTAATCGAGTCTGTCATCCCACTAAACTTGTGGATTCCTAAACCCGCTTTGAAAAATACTAAAGTCTTCCCAATGCTTTGTGGTTTATTCGCTTGAGTCTTTTCTTGCATTATTACAGGAAAAGATCGAACCTTATATAGTCTTTAAGAAACCTTAAAAATGACAAGTAGTTGCGAGCTTTTTGGAAAGGATTTGGTTTCCTTCTCTAAAATCGCCCAAACGTGAAAAATGAAAGGATACAGAATGAATCCTCTAGTTGTATAGATCTGGATAAACTGGTCGACCATCCGATGATCAAAACACGATGATTTATGTCGCCCGTCCGATAGACGACATGTGTCCAACTATCATTGTCACCACGCTCTTGACATCCATGATGTCATCGAATATTCGAAGATTCGATTTTCGATGCGAATCGATTCGGTTTTAACTGCTTTAGTTACCAAATAACTAGATCGAATCCTCGATTGACATGTGGCAGAAAATCCCCAATGTAATTCATCTTCACGTGAGATTTGAAATTCGAATACATGATTATTAATTTAAAATCTCTAGGGGCAAGCTATTTCGGTAAAAAATACACCCTCGATTGACGAGGATATTTGCCTCGACTTCGACAGTTAGTACAAAGATTCATACGATCAACGGTTATGACACCTGTGATCATGGTTATCTATGACCACAAGACTGACGACCCTTGGTTGAAGGTTTCCCATGACCATTCGGTGAAGGTTATTTGTCCACAATCTTAGTTTCCTTTGATATATCGTACTAACGACGCAAGTAATTGCACAATTATTACATCGACTGTTATGTATGTTTTTTATTGCAAGGACAAATACACATACACTTATTAATTATAGAAGATCATAACGGATAGCCAAGATTCAAGACAATACATGACAACAATTTTCTTCATTCAATGTCAATAACTGTCGACCATTGTACATTTTATAGATAACTATTGGCACAGTTCCACGAATCATCTGTAAAAGGCCAGAAGATCTCAAAGAAAAACCCCCTATTATCAAAATCTATAGCGTACGAAGCTCATCAATGAAAGACAATCATTATTATTTGTTATTTTCCACGACCGACGTGTTAGTTTTTCTTCTAAAATTTTAATTATCCTCAAACGACAACATGACTTATATGCCCGTTTCAACCAATATCTATCTGGATCTATTTGAATTTTTCGTAAATAAAAAATTTGCAAAAATAAAAAAGAATTTCTATATACTATACATATAATATAATTTAAACATGACAATGGGTTGCCCGGGATTCGAACCCGGAACTAGTTGGATGGAGTAGATAATTTCCTTGTTAAATAAGTAAACCCCCCCCAAACCTTGCTTGCATTTTTCATTGGACACGGCTTTCCCTCTGTGTACATCTAAAACTCAGTTCCTTCATTAGATAAGAAAATGTTGAATTGCCAGTTGATTTAATCCTTACTACATACTACATCAATGTTTCATAGTATAAATCAATAATATTTTTTTCATTCTGATTGACTTTCATAGTGCATTGACGATCCTCGATATCGCCCATGGTTTTTTCTCTCGTTTAAGGGTTTTTCCTTGTCACCAATTCCTCTGTCTCGTTAATCTTTATTTTCCATTAATTGTTAGTGTTAATTTTGAAGTTGATGGATCTTTAATTGTTAAAGCTCTGCAAATAAACCTTAAATTATATTTGGTGTAATTTTTGGCATAAATAATTGTATTTCTTTTTAGTTTAATTGTTTATTAGGTTGTCTGCCACGTAGTTTTAAGCTTTGATCTGATTGAGGTTAATAACTAGTTTTCTTAAGTTGCATGCACCACACTAGATTTAAAAAACATTTTCCAATATTTGGAGTGCATGAGTTAGAAGAAACCAAAATGCAAGCTAGAAATAAGAAATATGTGATCAAGGAGCCTAAGATTGAAATGCACAAAAAAATTGATGAGTAATACTAAAGAAAATATGGAAAATCCCCCGACACTACCAAATTCCCCTCCGTTGGAAACTTATTTCCAACCGGAAGCATGCGAGAACCCGTCCCCAATATCCTTATTGGGTGATGATGATACCTACTATGAGTTTCGCCCTCATCTCATTCAGTCCCTTCCAAACTTCCATGGCCTACCCAAAGTGAACCGTATAATCACTTATACGAATTCATTTCCATTTGCAATACCAACAAATTCAAGGTATCACCCAAGACTACCTTAGGCTCATATTGTTCCCCCCCTTTTTTTCTAAAAGGGCGAGCAAAACAATGGTTTATATCACTTGAGCCAAGGAGCATCTTCACCTTGAGATACCCCGAGAGATCTCCAATTTTTAGTAGCCACCTAGGGAAGAGTTTGATGAGGCATTTGAGCGACTCAAGAAGCTTCTTCATTCATGTCCTCACCATGATACCCCAAAATGGATCTCGGTGAAAATTTTCTTAGATGACTTAGACCCAGCTCACCAAGGTCTAATTAATGTTGTAAGTGGGGGACAGATGAAGACTAAGAATGATGAAGAGACATGACAATTATTAGAAACATACAGTCGAAACCTTGCATCACACAATTTTTTACGAGCGACTCATAGGTCAGTGTCATTAGTATCTAATATTGAAGGGATAAATGATTCGAGGAAAGATTTCAAGGGTGAGATTAAAGAAGTCAAGGGTGAGATTAATAAGTTGTCTAAAATGCTTGGTCTTGTCTTCAGTGGGATGATTAAATAGAAAAATGATGTTTTTCAAGTTCAAAATGCATGCACTCACTACAAAGATCCCTCACATTCTGCAAGTGAGTGCATAGTTTTCCATTTTGAGTGTAAATCAATCCCAAGGGTTTGGTAATCACATTCTAGACCCATTCTCAAGAACTTACAACAAGGGATGGCGAAAACATCCTAATTTTTCTTGAAAAATTAATCAAAAGGGTCCTTTAAATCAATCTTGGTTCCAAAATCACCCTCATGAGGGTCAATCGAGTCGGCCCAAACTTCAAGGACAAAATCACGATCATTCTCACTCTAGAAATTACGACCATAATAATTAGTCGGATCAAAACTTTGGTGGTAACAATAATTATAACAACAGACAGGGCTCATCGCCACTTAAAAAATAAATGAAAGATATGATAGTAATGATGAAAAATTATATGAAAATGACAAACGACAAAATACCCAGTCTGCTACTACTAGTACTCGTTTTTATTTTGCTCTAGAGAAACAAGTCGGCCAACTGGCTAGACAAATGAGTAGAAGGGACGGGGGTACGCTGCCAAGTATGACTAACCCAAGTCGTAGTCATGAGCACGTAAATGAAATCACTTTTTCAAGTGGCCATCATTTGGACCTTCTTCTTTAAAAGAATGTTGAAATTTCTCTAACAAAAAAGGGAAAGAGATTGAGTAGGGAGTAGAGTCTAAAAAAGTAAGTCAAATTCCAATCACATTGGATATGTATCCAATATGATTGCATAACTATCAAGAAGGGGAGAGTTTGAGATTACCTAATCAAGAACCCACTATTCAATTTGCCACTACTTTAAATGAATCTACGACTTCCCATTTGGAAAAAGAGGGCCAAAAAATGAGGATATGATGGATGCCTTTTGCCAAGTAAAGATAAATTTACCACTACTAGATGCCATCAAACAAATCCCAACTTATTCCAAATTCCTAAGGGAATTGTGCACTAAAAAACGCAAACAAAAGACTCTGATCCCAAAAAGATCGAAGTTACTAAGCAAATGAACATTATTCTATCTAGTTCCCTACCACAATTGATCCCTATCATCATGGGAAATTCCTCTATAAAGAACACCTTGCTGGATTTAAGGACTAGTGTGAATATCTTGCCAGGATTGGTGTACTATCAATTCGAGTTTGTGAATTCAAAACGATAAGTGTGTTAATACAACTCATGATCAATCTACAAGAGAAGTGCTTAAGGATGTGATTGTGAAGATTGAGGACTTCTATTACCCTGTGGATTTTCTAGTGCTAGATACCGAGGACATGGTTATATGGAAGGGAAGTGACGATAATACACCAATTTAATGTGTGGTTGATTAGTATTAATAATAATCTTTACTAGATAGACTGAAGGTAAATTCCAGTGAAATAAAAATCATTTTTCATTTCATTATATATATTTCTATATGTTATATAGTTTTAATACTCCCAATTATGTAAGTGGAAATTAAAGTAGTTCCATGAGACATATCTTGCAAAGGAATATCATACCAAATCCAACAGAAATAATATTAAGAAGTACTAATACATGATGGTTGTGGCACTCGTGCCAATGCTGAAGATCATATCATTTTACTCACATGATAAAGTCTCTTTTTTACATCACCTACAACAAAGACTTCTATGAGCGTTCATCTTCTTCTCCATTTTTTTCATGATGTCTTTCCTAATATCTCTTTCATTTTCTTAGTTGTTCTATGTTTATCGAGAAAGAAACATGATAAAGACATAATTGACGCGCATACATTCCAAAGATATTAACTATATGTCTTTTGTTTCACCAATCATAATGACGAGCTTCTTTGTCCTAATAATACTTTATATGTACCATAAGCATTCTTAATCTTCTAGTAACAAGAACTAATTTAACACTTAAAAGTCATATACTCTGGGGCAGGTGCTCCACTTTTCTAGGCCAAACCTTAGGCCTGAAAGTTTGGTTCAMATGATATACCTAGGAAGCCCTATTTTGTAGCCAAGCATATTGACATCATCTTGAACATGTTGTCTGAATTCTCCAAAACTGAATCTTCTATAAACTGAATTCTCAATGCAACTTTGTATCATTGTTTCATAAGATGGACAGAAGAAATAAGCTGTTGAGAATCTCTCGACATGCTTATTAGTAACTACACGATGTTCAACACTCTTATAAACATCATTACTCCATGCCTGAAACGATGGAAAAATAATTAATGTCAATGACATTTGGAACCACTTGTATGTAATGGCATGCATTGTATCCGTATGCCAATTATAAGTTGCCTTTGAGTAAACAATCTATTAGAGAATCTGTAAAATGTATATGTACCTGAAAAAGATCTCCAATATTGATGATCAAAGTTTTTGGATTAGGTTTAACAGTGATCCATTTCCCATCTTTTACTAATTGTAATCCACCAATTTGATCTTGGTATAAAATAGTCAAGAAATCACTATCAGTGTGTGGCATCAATCCAAACACTTGTGAAGAAATGGGGCAAACAGGATATCTGTTCATACGAAGATAACAACTGGTAGGCGAACATTTTTCCTTGAACAAATCAGATTTATGGCCTAGCTGCTCGGCCAAAATCTCTGATAATTTTTGTGCCAAGTCAGAAATCTTCGTGGCAAGTAGTTTCATTGTTGTCCTGGATTAAAACAAGAATTAAACATAAGACAAAGCAATATAAAGACAACTAGTGATAATTATTTTCTATGAAGAATATCTAGCGGAGCAAAAAAAGTCATAACCACCCAATGTGTGAGATGCACAGACATAATCTACGACCCTTCTTTCACTTGGTTTGAGTTTTCTTTCTAGTTTTTGCAACCCCTTTTTTTGTTATATAACTTGTCATCTAGTTCTTACCAAATATGACTAGTTATTAACTACCAACTAGTTTATCAAATAGTTTGCTAAATATGTTGGATGTCGTTAAAATATTTAGTTCGATTATATGATGGGAGGTTCATTATTTTGTATCATAAATTTATAACTATTGACTTTACACTAGATTAAATAAAGATATTCTCAAACAATTCAAAATGATCATGTCATAAGACAAAATTTTAGGGGTCAAAGAAAAGGATCATTAAACTATATACGATATCTTGGTTATGGGAAGAGTTCATACAATTTCAACGACAAAAAACTTTGACCCACAATAGAGCTAAAGAATGTGTGTAAGTTTTACGATATATAAAAGAATTGGAAATCAACAGAAGAATCGTTAATCAACGAGTCAAATGATTGATGATACTTAATTATTGTACTTTTAAATAACTTAATAAAGTATTATGTATAAAATATTAAAATATGGAATTTGAACCGTCATATATTATATAAAGGTTTTTAAGGTTCTTTCAGAACCAAAATATATAATACCTCTTGTCCCAACTTTTCTCGTATTAATAGGCTTATGAGCTCATCTGAATGAGTTGAGTGACGGGATAACTCATTCCAAATAAATAAAAAGAAGTTTACGTTTACGAGTTTTGTATAAAATCATGCTGTTGACTACCAATTAACAAGATCCTTAAGACATTTGGCTACTTTGTACTTCAACGTTATAACTTACAACTATAGTTTGTAATATCAAATATGAACGATTTAATTTGTTACATATTCTAACCTTTAATCTATAAAGTCAATTAAAAATCAATATGAAAATCACTTTTTCTAAGTTGTTAGCATAAGATAAAAAATAAACCTTATGTGTTGTATTAGTATTTTATGTTTTGTATTACCAAAAAGGATATCTTGAAAATATTAATCAATTATTTTACTTTAAAATATAATTGAAAGAAATCTCTAATAATATAATATATT